AACCAACCAGATACACCACGGCGCCGAGGATCAACGCCATCCCCTCGAGGGCATACCACCCCACGCCGACGGCGAGGAGGTAGCTGGCGTCGTGCAGGAGGTACAGGTGGGTGATGGGGATGAGGGCGCTCAGGCCGGTGAAGATGAGGGCGGTGACGCGGAGGGTGCGGTGGGGGTCGTTTCGGTGGGGATTGTTTAGTGTGCTGGTGACTCTGGTGGTGGTTGTACTGTCGAGTGTACGTGGCGACGATGAAGCCGCCGCCGACGCCGCCGCGGCAGGATGCAGATGCAGACCCAGCGAAGGGAGGGTGAGGAGGATGGTCTATAATCTCCCTCCCCGTCGTCATCACCATCATCACATTCAGTATCGCTAGCCATTGTGCTCATCATCCGCTCCGCTCCGGCGTAACTCTCTCAATGCCATGTCTAGTAGGTGAAGAGGGGCCCTCAACTCACGATAGCAATATAAACATCCCGCCACCACCTTCTCGCCTCCTCCTCCCCTTCCACCCCGTGAGCCCCCACAAACGCATAATGCAACCCCGTCACAAAGTTGCTGACCAGCAGTCCCAAGATCCCGCAGTAGTCCGCTTTCAGTGCGTAGGCCGAGTGCCCGTTGTTGGCGTGGTAGGCCGCCGATAGTAGTAGGCACGCGGTGGAGCTGAGGATGTGCAGGCGCGGTAGGTCGGGGGCGAGGATGGCGAGCGTCGGGAAGCACAGCGCCGGGAGCAGGTGCGTGTAGATGTTGAAGGTCTCGTGGTGGAGGGTCGCGTAGGTGGCTGCGTGGAGCCAGGTGGTTTGTTTGGGGAGGGTGTAGTTGGTTTCAAGGGGACGGGGGGGTGTTTGTTCTGGGGACTGGGGGAGGGTGGTGGTGGAGTCATGGTGTCGGTGGTGGAGGACATGGGATTGCATTCTTGTGGATTCGGTTTCTGGGAATGCTTGTGGATATGGATATTTTAGGGATGAGGGGGGGAGGGGGTTGAGGTACAGGAAAAGGTGGTTGTAGGGTGTTGAGGGGGTTGATGATGGGGGTTGGTTGTGTGGTCTTGTTCGGGGGGTTTTGTCGGGTGGTTCTGGCTGGAGAGGGTAGGGTAGGGTAGGGTAGGTGCTACTCGTGTCACCATTGGGGTTGCATGCTTTCCTTTGGGGGGGAAGGGGTGTTTGGATGGGTGTTGAATGTGATGGGTTTTAATTTGTGTGAGCATTTGATTGTCATAGTGCAATTGAGTTTGTGTGCAGGCAATCGAGAGGAGTTCTTGTTCTCAGGTATCGGCTGTGGCAGGATGAGATGGATTTATGGATCTACAGGGTGTCTATACAAGACGCCCACTTGATATTTCTGGTCTACAGGACATGTTACACCTCACCATGTTCAATTGCAATGGCTACTAGATGGTGTCTATACTCCCGCCGACCAATCACAATGCAACAAAGTGAGACTCACATGACCTCACGTGACGGTATAAAAATTCCACGGCCAGTCGCAATCCAGCAAGACAACGACATCCAGCACATCTCAATCCCTGAACACGCCGTACGGAGTCGAATATAATCACATCTCCGGTAGCCCCCTAATAAACCGACACAATGGGCTCCAGCTCCAAGAAAAAGAAGGAGAAACAGAAGGATTTCCAAGTACGCCTCCCCCACCCCCCGGCCATTTCCATGCCCCCGATCATCCATACTAACGCGACCCCTTAGAAAGCCAAACTAAAAGTCGGCAAAACCAAAGCCAAACCCGACAACTTCACCGACACCAGCTTCAAAGCGAAGAGTACTCACCCCATTTCCCCCCGGGACTCTCAATTCTGTTCTGCATGATACTAACCAAGAAAACAGGCATAACCCTAACCCAACAATCCCTGACGCTCACCGCGCCCACAACCACCACCCAATTCACGCACCACGTCTCTCTGCTGGGCTCGAAATCCGACGCCCAGCGCCGCGACTCCCTCGCCCACCTGACGACGCACCTCACCAACAGCCGCCCCACGGCGGGGGGAAGTCTCCCGCAGCCCGTGAGTACCCTCCTCCCGACCCTGTCCCCGCTCATCCTGGACGGCAACACCGGCGTGCGCACCCAGCTCCTCAAGCTCCTCCGCGCCCTGCCCCCGCGCGACGTCGAGGACCACGTCGCCCAGCTCCTCCCCTTCGTCCGCGCCGGCATGACCCACCTGGCCGCCGAGATCCGCGTCACCGCCGTCGAGGTGCTGGCGTGGCTGGTCGAGATCGCCGGCGCCGAGGTCGTCGGCTGCGCCGGCGGCTGGATCAAGACCCTCAATTGCTTCCTGAGCGTGCTGGGCTGGCACACCGAGGAGTCGTCCAAGTGGTCGGCCTCGCGGGCGGCCTTCGGGAAGTCCGGGAGTGCCGGGCGGCCCATGGTCAAGGTGCTGGGCGTGTTGGCTGAGTTTTTGGAGGCCGGGATCGGGGCGGGTGGGGAGGGGGAAGGGGAGGATGTCGTGATGGAGGAGGGTGTCGCGGCTGCTGGTGCTGCGGTTGGGAACTGGGAGTTCCCGTTGGCGCAGGTGGAGGCGCATATGCTTCCCCAAACGGCGCAGCCCTATGTCTATCTCAATCTGTTTGGGCAGCCCAGGGATGAGGAAGGCGAGATGTATGAGACCCGCGAGGATCGGTTCCGGGTGTTTGCGGCACGGTTCTTGAAGGCTGTCGAGCGCGGGGTGGAGAGTGCCAGGCAGGATGGCGGCGAGGTTGGTCGCGCGTCGTCGGCGGTTAGTAAGGTGTTGAAGGAGGCGCTGGGGTATGCGAGGGGTGCTGGGTTGGAGGTTTGAAGTTTTTCTGCATTCTTTATCCGTGGTATTGGCGTCTTTTATGGATTGTAAAAAATGGACACGTTGGGCTTTTCTTTCTCATAGACTTGTGGGGGTCATAGTAGGAGAGTTGGAATGATGTACTACACTGTACTCTGGCTGCCTCGGGACTAACTACACTTTCATCTTCTCCTGTTCGTGCAACGCCTCGTCCGAGCCAGCCGACACTCCCTCCACGGGTTCCCGCGCCTCGTAGATCTCTTCCGCCATCACAGCCCTATCAATCAGAGACTCGCGCGCCGGGAACCAGAAGGACAGCCCCACGTACACAATGCTGGTGGCCACAAACCCCAGCAGCCATCCGAACTGATACGGATGGACCCCCACCCCGACCGAAATGCTACTGTTCACAGAACTGATCAACCCCGGAAGACTCGGGACCACCCCCACCAGAAACCCAACAATCGCGCGCCAATTGACTCCCCATGTGTACCGGTAGATCGGGTTGTGTGGCTGGTATAATGCCAGAGTGTCGTACTTGCCACGTTTCAGCACCCAGAAATCCCACAGCATGATCGCTGCAATCGGCCCCAGGAAGATCGCATATGCCGACATGAAGTTCATAAAGTTGCCTGCCGACTCGAGGATCTTCCACGGCACCAGCGCCCAGGATAGCAACCCACAGATGATCTGGCCCCGCCGGAGGTTGACATGCTCCGGAAACAAGGCCATCAGGTCATTCGCCGCGGAGATGGAGTTGGCAGAGATGTTGACGCCCAAGGAAGCCAGCAGAAACGAGAATGCTGCGAAGAACCGACACGCTCGGCTGGACCAGTGGCTGATCAACTCGATCGGATCCCACGGGATCGTGCCACCATAACGGGCCTGACCCGCCGATGAAGCGGCAATGCCAATGAAGGAGATGAAGGTAAAGATGATCGGCAGCATTGGCACGTACAGCAGCTGCCATTTGGGGGTGACACGCGAGTATCGAGAGAAATCAGACTGCTTCTCGTTAGACCCTTTTCGCAGTTCATTATCGTCATGGAAAGCATACCTGATTGACGCTCAGAGTGGCGTAGTTCCCCAGAACCGCGGTCATGCTTGACAAGAATACCCAGCTGTACTGCGAGCCAGAGACCGTCGGCTTCTGTGCAAACATATTCCCTCCACCCTCGGCGACAAACGCCCAGATCAGGATCGCAATCCAGGCGATCGGAACAATGATCGACTTGGCCACGAACAACCATCGCACTTTGTTCGGGTGGATGCAGAGGAACGGCAGCTGAATGAGCCAGAAGATAAAGTAGCTCACCATGCCGTTTGTCGTGATGCCCTGATCCTCGGGGATGTCGTTCTTCAGTCTCAAAAAACTGGGCCAGATGGCGCCAATCATGACCCGCACCGCATTACCCCCGTTGACGTTCTGGATGGCGAACCAGAAGAGCGCCAGGATGACTCGGGAGATGATAGCGACATATGATCCCCAGAAGCCCCAGCTGGCTCGCGCGATCACTGGGAAGGGAACATGATAGATCGCACCCACTGCTCCATTTCCGGCAATGACAAAGGACATAATGAAAAATGATATGGCGACAATGGCCAGCGACTCCCGCCAGCTGAGACCGACAGCAATGATGCTACTAGCAAACTGCCATGTGGCTGCATTGAAAGCATCAGAAATCCAGTAGGCTAACCCTAGTCAGCTGGAGTACACAAAAGTTGATGTAGGATAGTCCTACAGATGAAACTGAGAGGGCCCCATTTGCGGCGATGCAGGGGCACCGGGTCGAGGTCGAGGTTTGTCCACCGAGAATTGCCCTCTGCAAAAGCAGATCTCGACTGGGCCACATGAAGGTGAGGCCGATCAAACTTCATATCTATCGATAGTTGTCATTCGTCATGGACTGGGATGCTGAGGAGGTGTCGTTCCCGGTCGAGAGATGGGTGCACAAAACGAATGGTACTGGACCCAACGTAAGGGATAATAAGATTGTCGCACACGCTGTCGCGCCCCAGTGGAGAAGCAACTGTATGTGGCCCGGCGATCGACTATAACACCCTGCAGGCTCCCATTGATGATCGATGGCCCAGGGTCAGATAAGCAAGATAAGCACCCCTGCTGGATGATAGCTGTGGCGACCCACGATTGGATGCCACATGCGATCAGACAGTTACAGGCCGATAAGAAGGTCGGAGGGCGGAGGGCTCCAGTAGGTGCCAGCTCTTTCGAAATGAATTTGGGCTGATTTAAAGCTCTTTGTCGTGTGCTCGTTTAGAAATAAACTCCAACTTCGCCCGCTTTGAGCATCTGGATCGATCCATGGGTGGCACTCGGATAATATGAGCTTAATGATTGGCTCTCATTGGTAGGGACCATCGTCAAATCTTGCATTCAATGATAACTTATTCGATAAAGGTGAGTAAGACATTGGAGGGCGTGTTGTCGAAGTAACACACGAATGTCACCATTTTTCCGCATGCATCACGGAGGCGAGTTGGACGGTCGAGGCTTGGCAAAACAACAAGAGATTTGATGAAGATAGTGAAAACTATCTGTCATCCCTTCCTATCAAGTACAGGCAGTCAACCCATGGCACAAAGCATTGTATGGTGTAGCTGATAAAGGTAACGGAAAGGATCTCCGAGATGAGAGAATGGAAGAGGGGAAGGAACATGAGGTGGATCGCGTGGGGTGGAAAGTAGATTGTCATCAAGCGGGGTCACTCCTCTTCGTGCCTTTGCTCCTCTCTCTCTCTCTCTCTCTCCTTCTACCCAAACCATTTCTTCATCGCAGCCGTTCCTCATTTCTAAGTTTCTCACACAATGACTTTCAGCATTTCTGAGGCTAGATCTCGCTTTCCTGCTCTGAACCAGGAAGAGGTCTTCCTCGACAATGCCGGAGGCAGCCAGGCTTTGGACTCGGTCATTGAATCGTAGGTGATCTTGAGACACTGTGGGATGAACACGTTCTCATTTGACTCTATTGCAGTATTTCGACCTACCTCTCGAGCACCAACGTTCAATTAGGCGCCACCTACAAAATAGCCAAAGCGTCAACTGCTGCCTACGGTCACGGCTACGAAGCAGCAGCTAAGTTCATCAACGCAAAGCCTGAGGAGGTACGATGCATCGACTTCAGTCTAGATCAACTCTGATGGAGCTCTCCCTAGATCTGCCTGGGAGTTTCGACCACGCAGCTCCTTCACAATCTATCAACCGCCCTTGACTTTCAGCCCGGAGACGAACTTGTTATCTCGAAACTGAACCACGAAGCCAATTCCGCTGCCTGGGATAGAATCGCCACACGCCTAGGACTGACAGTGAAATGGTGGTCGGCTTCCGACCGCCAGAATCCCATCTGTGACCCTGAGGAGCTGAAAGCGTTGCTCTCCAACAAGACAAGGCTCGTGGCGTTTCCACACGCCTCGAACATCACCGGCACTATCAGTGACGTCAAGCAGATCACCAGAATAGTGCATCAGTATCCCCGAGTATGAGTTTCGCGACCCGATATCTGAGTCACAATCTCACCTCTTCTAGGCCCTAGTGTGCGTCGACGGTGTCGCACTCGCCCCACACCGACAGGTTGATGTTAAAGACCTTGACGTTGACTTTTACGTGAGTGCGAAGCTCATGGATGGCACATCAGCATATGCTGACAAGGACAGGCTTTCTCATGGTACAAAGTCTACGGCCCTCATATGGCCCAACTCTACGCTGCATCGCGGATCCATGACCAGATCAGCCCTCTGTGCCACTATTTCAAGTCCACAGAAACACTAGATCTAAAGCTTAATCTCGCCTCAGCAAATTACGAGCTGACGCAAAGCATCCCTCGCGTTCTCGAGTACTTCGGTTCTGATTTCTCTGCAGCGTGGGATCAGATCGCTACCTTTGAGGAGAAGCTACAGAAGATCCTTCTGGACTATCTGAACGAAGAGGGCCGTATCACAATCTATGGAGAACCATCAGCAAGCAAGGAGCTTCGGGTTCCTGTCATCAGTTTTGTGGTGAGGGGGGTCAAGAGTCAGGCTTTTGTGGAGGAGGTTGAGAAGCGATCGCCGTTTGGCTTCCGAAGTGGGCATATGTATAGTCACCGTCTGGTCAAGGATATCATTGGATTGGATGACATCGAGGATGGTGTCGTGCGGATCAGTATGCTGCACTATAATACGGGTAAGCATCTAGTTGTTACAGAGATCGAGCAATCTGCTGACCTGAGATAGAGGACGAAATCAATTCGCTTGTGAAGGTGTTGCGGGAAGTCGTTGCCGCGATATAAGCCGCCATAGCCTGTCATCTCCCGTTGAAGTTCCAGCCTGATATTAGTCATTAGTCGATCCAAACAGACTGGAACCATCTTCTTTGAACCAAACATGTCGCTTTCAAGCCGAAGCTTTGTCTGTTCGGATGACTGCTGAACCTAAGATGCGCAAACAGCAAACTCGCAACACAGACGGGACGTAGACAGCAGGTAGGTAACCTATACTATCTTAGCTAGTTGTGACTAGGGCTTTCAGGTATACTGGTCTCTTGTACTACATCTCGTTCACGTACCCAAACCTTCCCGTTTCAGGAATTCACTCTCGCGAGCTTCATAGGGGTAACATCGTTCCCGTCAATGTAGGCCCTACCTAGATTCCGGTTGGCATGAAACGCAAATGTGTACTACATTCACAGATATTGATTTCCAGTCAGCCGGAAAAATTGACTGATAGGCATTGACAAGATAAAATATCCTATCTGCACATGGGGCTGTTCGATGAGCGCCAAAATACCGATGCTGTCGCTTTGGGTGCGATTTGCTCGCAAGGAATCATTCCTGTCGTTGCCCCTCGTTCGCCTGATTTGGGTGAGCACAGTCCGTTGCATTCAGGCGTTTGTCTGGCATCTATGGGAGCCCCAGGGCGTTTCTCTTGTGCGTCATCTACGGATTACCATTCAATCTCAAATTTATCCCACTCGACTTGTTCACGACAACCGAGTAAAAGTTTAGGGGACCGTATGCCTTGCCTTCCCGTCCCATCTAGAGTCAAAGTTAACCTCTCGCTACATCTTGAGTGTCGCAGCCATCACTTTTTTTTTTTTGCCATTGCTACTCGACCTCTTCGCATTTGGTTGCAATGGTATTGCTGACTGTCTCATACCCACTCTTCTCGTCCGGCCAACCGATTGGGCAAATGTGAAAGCAGATACGGGATTTCATGGTCTTAGCATAGGCAACTCATCAACGCAGAGAGTACCACCATAGCTTACCATATCTTTGGCCTCTTCTTATGAAATACTTCCGGTAAAAGAAGTCCACGGCACTAATTGGTGAACCATGGTCGCCTGCCACTGTATTGCTTCAATGGTATGTGTCGACGCGTAATCATCATATCCTCTTTCTCCGAGGTCGATGTGAACTGATAATTCCCCTTGTAGCATTCTCTTCAAGTGCGGTCACTCTGGTTCTCGTGACTGCTGGAATCCATATAAATGATGCCCATTTCGACGTCTAGGCTTATATCACAGCCACTATGTGCAGCTCTTGATCGCCAATCTTATCATCTCTTACACATTCTCAATGTTCGTCTATATCCGCAGCTTTAATGTGAAGATGAATTCCCCAAACCGACACCTGCGAAGGGTGGCCATTGGCGGGAGTACGGGGCATATGGTCTTTTATTTCACATCGGTCGCGAGCTGAACCTTCGCATGACTGCTCTATTTTTCGGTGGGATCGGCTGGATGGCCGTCTAGTGGTGCAGGTTCCAGCCACTGGCTGGGGCATAATGTTCACCTACCTCTATGTTATTTACTTCTGAACTATTCTGGCTCACCGCTAACATCGAGGTGATGCCATCGGCGCGAAGAAGTATGGAGGTGACTGGAAAGAGTACAAGTGCTGGGTCTGGTGGAGGATCGTGCTGTGGGTTTATTGACTGGTTTGAGGGTGGAGATGACTATATAGGTTATATAGGTTCAATTGTATTGAAAGAGCCGATGCACATTTCGCTGCCAGCTCGATGGCGCTTCTCTCGTGGGAATAGATACTTTCTTGGATGGTTTTCGAGGTCCACAGATGAGCAGGGAAGGGGTGGGGGATTAGTGAGGATCTTGAGCGCGCACCAAGCACTCAAGCAGAAGATCTGTATCACATCTACACAAATAGACCACGTACCTTCGCACAAATCATCGCCATACCAATACCTTAAAACTGCTGCGCTTTGGCCACTGCAGCCTTGTGCCTCATTTCTAGGCTCAACACCATGCCACATAAGGATGCTAGTGCAGGCTTACTTGCTCTAGCCGATATTGCCATTGATCCACCGACACTGAGTCACTTGGAGCCATACTTACCTCTCAATTTCACCGATCAGACCCCAATTGGGAGCATTAATAATCATGGAGTAAGGGTCAATCAGTTGATTGACTTATCGGTTGTCAGTGCTGCATATGAGAGATAAATAATGAGTCCCGCGACCCCGCAGTTACATCATGCGTTCTGCACATCAAAAACATCAACATCAACAACAACGACCCCTTAACCCAGTCCAACATCCTGACCACAGCTGCAAGCCCCCCTTATCCAAAACAACATGGCTCTCGCATACAGCGACATCCCTTCCGGAGCCAAGGTTTCTCCCAAGCCTTACCAGCTTCACATCACCGACGCCCAGATCGAAGAGCTCCTCGTGCTGGTCAAGCTGTCCAAGGTCGCCCCGCCCACCTACGAAAGTTCGCAGGAAGATCGCAAATATGGTATCACTCGAGACTGGCTCCTGGAAGCACGACAGGCGTGGAAAAGCTTCGACTGGTGAGCATTCCCCTCCAAGGGCTTACCCCGGTATATCGAATCCCGCTAATCACCAAGGAGGGCCAAAGGCGACCTACAGAGCAGCGCATCAACAGCTTTCCGCAATTCACCTACGAGATCGAGGACATGACCATCCACTTTGTCGGTCTCTTCTCGAAGAAAGCTGATGCGATCCCTATCGTCCTACTGCACGGCTGGCCTGGTAGCTTCCTGGAGTTCCTGCCCCTCCTGTCTCTCCTCAAGGACAAGTACTCCCCGGAGGAGCTTCCGTATCACCTCGTGGTACCGTCCCTTCCAGGCTTTACGCTGTCCTCCGGGCCCCCTCTGGACCGGGACTTCACGGGACAGGACACAGCCAGGGTCATCAATCAGGTGATGGTCAACCTCGGATTCGGGGGGGGATATGTGGCACAGGGGGGTGATATTGGGTCGAGGATTGGTCGGATCATGGCGGTGGATTACGATGCTTGCAAAGGTATGTCTCTTTGGGTCCTGTGTCTCCCGCAGTGTGAAGTCAAAGTACGGCTTACTGATTTGACTGGGCAGCGGTTCATTGTAAGTTCCTATCAGTACTACCAGTGTGACAGGAGGGGCTGGGTCCACGATCTAACGCGGAAGAACAACCCTCCCCCAGTGAACGCATGCTACATGGGCAAACCCGCCCACGTGCAGGATTCGTCCATCTCCGAGTTCGAGAAACAGAACCTGGCTCGCGGGGAGTGGTTCATGACCTACGGTGCCGCCTACGGCTTCGAGCATGGCAGTCGGCCCAGCACCATCGGGAACGTCCTTTCGGCGAACCCGGTTGCTTTGCTTGCTTGGTGAGTTTCTGCTTTCCGGTACACGGCTTGCTGTGGTTGTTTACTACCCCTACTTCATGGAAAGCTTATCGGCGGATAATTAGGGTTGGAGAAAAGTTCCTCGACTGGCCCGACGACCCCCTCCCTCTGAATGATATCCTCGAGTCGGTGTCGTTGTATTGGCTCACCGAGTCGTTCCCTCGGTGTATCTACCATTATCGCGAGGTATGTCGTAGCTTGTTCTTGGGGGTTACCCCCTCCCTTCGTGTAGTAACACCGCGCGCAGCAAGTCCCCATGCCTAAGCTTCAGCTCGCCGAGGACCCGAGGTGGTACATCAAGAAACCGTTTGGGTTCTCTTACTTCCCTAAAGAGCTGATGCCAGCCCCGCGGGCGTGGATCGAAACGACTGGGAACTTGGTGTTCTGGAATACGCATGAGAAGGTTGGTCCATCCTCCTCATTTGGTGACGATGATGCAATAAGTAGTTATCCAACTAACCGTTATGATAGGGAGGACATTTCGCCGCGCTCGAACGGCCGGCGGATCTCCTGGAGGATCTGACTGCGTTCGTGGAGAAGGTGCGGGCTGATATCCAGTGATCCATGTGGTCGATCTGCTGCTCGGTTGTGCTCATGAGGCCGAGGGATCTCGTCGTATATGCAGACGCCCATATTGTGTTTCGCCAGCCCTGTGGGATGGAGTTTTGCACATGCAGTATACAAGTCTTTGACTCCAGACTCTCGATCTTCGACTCTAAGGTAGTCCTACCTCACCCGAGGAAGTATCAACATACAAACCATAGACGATATTCCTCCACCCTATCTCAGCACTGATAAAATCCCCTTCTTCTGCGCTTATACCTACGGTATACACTACACAGTACAGTACCTCAAACCCACGCTGCCTTCCTTCACGCCCCACCCACCTCAAACACCACCTTTCTTACTCGTACACTTCTCGAGCAAATACAATCCTTGCTAATAACTACCAGTACGGAACCGAGCCCTTCCCCACCCACCACGCAGAGGACCAAAAGCCTCAATTACGCAACGGTCCCCCTCTGAGTGGCCCCCGTCCGGCACCACCACATCAGCCGGCATTAGCTCTGCATATCACCTGCATGGTGCTCCCGAATCGGAGCTCAAGGTTTTTTTTGGGTGTGTTCCCACTGTTCTAGATGGGCGGAGGATTCAAGGATTCATTCTATCCATGATCTTGGATGAGGGGGTGGGCTGCCCAGTGCCTTGTTTGGATGGAAGGTTTGAGGACGGTGAGGGTGGTGATTGGTGGTGTCGGGGGATAAAAGTACCTGTTTCTTTTATCTGGTGAGGGACTGGGGGATGTTTGTTTGTTTGTTTGGTGCAGTGGTGTTTTGGATGCTCCAGTCTGTTTGGAGGAAGGGGGTTTGAGTTTCGGGAGGTATGTACTGTGTGTGCGTGTGAGGGCTTGGTTTGGGGAGGAGGCTTGGGTGAGGGGGCTTTTCATTTGGTTTAGTGCTTGCTCATGCTTGGGAAGTTTTACTTGGTTGTTTGAGGTTCTAAGGTGGTTTGTATGAGTAGGTGGAGTTCGTTACTATGAGTCCATTTCTTGCGTGCGGGATGATGTACACAGTAGGATGGGATATATCTTGCAGTCACAGCTGTGTACCAAGCTCCCAGTCTAGAACCAGGACTGGTGCAAGCTGAGCTTACTCTGTGCTCTGCTAGCCTGCTCTACATCCCATGTCAATGGATGCATCTAACCAACCACAAGCTATTCGCCCGCTGCTGCGATGTCGGTTGATACCAGGTTATAATCAAGTCACCAACCCTGTAGGGCACTGCGGGGTTTCTGCGGGATGCCTGAGACTTTGTTTCTGCCTCAGGCCTACACAGCAGAAATCCCTGTAGGCTGTAACCAACCGCAAGCCTTGCAGCCTTGCAGCCTGCTGCACCTGGCAGCCTGGCCGGTCGGTTTCCAACATGGGCCCCGCGCGAATAACCCCGCGCGTCATTGGGTTCTGCGCCTTTGGCTCCACTCTTTTGTGTGCGTGTGGTGCTTTTTTGCAGTCGGAGACGGAGTCTTAACCTCTCTGGGTTTCTTTAGTCAGGTCAGGCAGGGCTGGCTGGGGCAAAAGTTGTCCAGCCGGCCCGCTCACGTAGGACAAATCCTGCGAAAAAAAAAAGTGAGAGGCCGGTCGGTCGGTCTCTTGCCAATCACGCTTTGCTTGCTTTGCTCCTCCCCCACACAGCGCGCCCCTCTCCCCTCTCTTCTTCTTCTTTCTTTCTTTACTGATCTCATGGATGTTCTTTTGCCCCTCAGCCACTCACGCCATGACTTGGACCCTGTGGGTATTGAAGGTCATGGGGCTTAGGAAAATTGATCTTCTGTTTAGTTCTTAGTTGTCTTTCCATCATGGATGTAAGGGTAAGGGTAAAGAAGGCTGTACACATTCAGAACGATTTTTTTTTTGTTTTTGCTGAGGGCAGACTATTCTTAGTCAGTTAGCCTCGTTTCTATCAACATCTGCATCCGACAAGGACACGAGGCGAGGCTGAAGTCACCTTAATTCCGCTACCTAGTATACCTCGGAATCTCGGCGAGAAGTAAGTTAATGACGATGATGACGATGATAGCTTCATACTCGAACTCAGAGTCAGGAAGTATGGGGTAACAGACCCAGAACCCAGAAGATTCTAGTAACTATCTGTGTTGTCTGTGCTTGACATCTTGTCGAACCAAAGTACGGAGACTGTACTGTACCTACAGTAAATTGATTGCATGCTTACTCGCTTCGTAAACTCTTTAGATATGCATGCATGAAATGAATGGACAGGCTCTATCTAGCCTTGTCCTATGCGCTTTGACTGATAATAATTACTTTTTTTTTTGCTTTTTGCTTTGTGGGGATTTGTTCCAGTAGGATCGGATTGATTAGTACGGAGGGTACGGAGTAAGAGAAGGGGGATGCAGGATGTGAGTTTTTAGCACTTCCGCGGCATTCCGCTGGGGAGGGGGTTCGTTCTGTTGTATCACTTGATGGGAGGGTTTCTTTTGTTGGATTGTGGATTGTGTCTTGTTGAAGATCAAGTTGAGTATACGGCTGGAGTGATCGGAGTATGTACAGAGACTCTGCTCTGCTGAATATGGATAAGAAGAGGCACATAGCCTGACCTGACGGATTCTGGATAACGGATATCCGGATATAGATCTCATGGTCAAGGGACCTCCGATACGACGACAAAGCATCAATCATACAACCCGCGCAGGCGGCGGCGGGCGGAGACTTTCCGGAGTAAGTGTTGAGCCGGAAAAGGGGGAGGGAGCTGTTGCCTGGCTGCCTGGGGCTGAGCCTGAGGGATCAGGAAGGTTCCCTAATCGGACCGACTCTGACGGGGGAGGGGGGCGGAGAGAGGTTCCACAGCCAGTTGTTCTGGTCGGGAGGTGCAACTTCTAATGCAGCAAGACATGTGGATAGGTAGTGGATAGAAGGAGGTTTTCAGCATGGCCTAACTTACCTATACAGTGTACGGGCTGTGCTATGTACGTAGTTCGTAGGTGACTAAGATGTGAGGGCGTATGCTCGTGGACTGGCCCCCAAATAAAGACCTTTTTTGTTCCATTCTCTTCTCCCTACTGGGTGACGCCTCCTTCGGGAAAAGGAGGAGGATGGTAAATTTAGGGCAGAGATCTCGCCATGTTTGGGAGTGTGTGTGGCATGTACGTGTCACTGCCTCACCCGTACGAGTTTTCTTTTGTGGTGGCGTGGCTGGCAAATAATCCGTCCGCGGTGGTTGGCTGACTGACCAAGTAGTCCCGAAGTTTTCTGCTTTCCCTTTCCCTTGGGTCATCGAACGAAACCGGCAGCCCGCCCTCTTGATTTTTTTTAATGAGTGGATGGATGGAGAACTCGGAATACACAAAATTGTACCGTGAACAAAAGTCAGGTAACTAATGTAGCATCATAAGTAACTTAAAAAGTCACTTTCTGAGTTGTGATCAAACTAGCTTCGGCGGATGGGGGGGCCTAGTGAGCCAACTGGCTTTCGGCTGATTTATCCCTGAGCAATACCGCCCGCCTGCTATGGGGTATAGACGTCAACGCGATGGGCTCGTCGCGTTTTGAATGGACCACTGTACGTTGCTCCCGGCTGTTATATAGTAGTCTGCTTAGCAAAGTTCGTCGCTTAGCTACTGAGTACTTGCTGATAATGCATAATATGTAACTAGTTTGATAGCCGATGTCGCTCTCAAAGAATAAGGAGCTGGTTGGCAGTGCCGCGTGGCTTTTTTTTTCTCTCTCTTTTCTTCCCGACGGGGTAGGACAACAGTCATCGTCATAAGCACCTAGATAGATAACTAGTCCACTCCCTATCGATAGAAGAGAAAAGGCACTGATAGAGAACTAAACTACCGGAGTCCGGGGATGGTTGGGCGGTCCGATGATAGCACACTAGCTCAAGATAGGGTAGCGAACGAGTTCAACCACCATTGCTAACGTTGCTAAGGTGGTGGTTATCATCTGAACGGATGGCTGAGTGACTCCACCAGGCCGGAGAGATGGGGGTTGGGTCTGTCGTGGATTCTTAGTCATGCCGATACCACCTCATCCATTTCACAAACATGGGATGGAATCCAGAAAGTGCCGGGGCGGGGGGAAGGAGGGGGGGGTTCGTAATAGGTTTGTTCGACCATGGTCATCCTGCCATCCATCGAAGGAAAAGAAGGGACATCGAAGAGGGGGAAGGGGAGGGGAAACATTTGTCTTTGCCTCCGCTGGATGAATAATAGAATAATAATCAGCAATGATGATGAGCAAGAGGATCATGAACTACAGGATCATCGGGGAGATTTACGAGTACTTGGGCAGTTGCTTAGGTTATCCTCGTTAAGTAAGTAGTTGACTTAGCTAATGCAGACTGAATAGTTAAGTCAGTCTACTTAGTTAGTAAGTAGTTATTGAGTATCATCAGTCACGAACAAATAAGCATCAGCAAATGACTTAGTGTAATGCCCAAGTCGGGCCCTTCTAGTCGTTGAGCCTGGTGCAGTGTGGAGAGTGTATTAAGTAGGACTGGACCAGGCCCAGTTATCGTGCGGGAACAGCCACAGAAGAGTCATCGCCCTCCCTCCTCCTCGTCCTCCTCCTCCACTCGATATCCGCTCCCGTCCAGTTCCCGATCCCTCCTCTACTACTACTGCTGCTACTTTCCCCTTCTACTCCTGCCTTCCCACTCGACTCACTCGACTCACTCACCTCGACTCTCATCATCTTCTTCTTCTTCCTCTTCCCCGTGCCTCTCTTCTCCTTTCCTTTTCTTCTCTATTCCCTTCCCTCCCCCCCCCCCCACACTCCCCTCCCCCCTCTGCCCTCTCCCCTTTTTATTGTTCCCCTTTTAGGAAGAGAGTGAGAGCCAAAGTCCACTGTTTTTCTTTCTTCTGTACTGGATTTTGGTGGTCTGATTTTCCCTTGTTTTGTTTCCCCCGTTGTTTCTTTCTCTCCGCTCTTAAACTCGCCCCGAAGAAAAGCGGTCCCTGCGTCCGCTCGACTCACACCCACACCCACCCACAGTCCCGCCACTCTCGCCACTCTCGCCCGCGGTGAGTAACCACCCTTTCCATTTTTACTCGAATAGTCTGTCTGGTCGTCTTGTTTTCCCTCCTCCCGGTGTGTGTTGCCATTTTGCCTCCCTGCCTGATTTCAGGTTGCCATCTCAACCTGAATCATTTTTAGTGTGGCTAGTCTGGCAACTGGATCGCCCCCAAGTTAGTCACTATTGTCAGTTTGTCAGTTTGTCAGTTTGTCAGTTTGTCAGTCTGTCTTGTGCTCCGCCCGCCGCCTCTTAATAGTCACCCGGACAGGAGAAAGCCTAAAGCCTTCTTCGGTTCCTTGCCTAGTGAGATCCGGAGTAAGAGTCATCATAAAACTGCGCACACACACTCATATCTACACAACGCCTCCCGAAATATTAAAAAAAAAGAAGATTAGTTATCTGACTTGATCGTTGCTGACTCGATCCCTTTTCGCCTTCAGCCTATTTGAGCCTCACCAACTACCAACTCCTCCACCGCGCTATTCCTCTTATCCGATAGACCGTTGACTGCCTGAACAAGCGCCGCTGCATACAGTAGCCGCCTGCTTGTTTGTGACAGTTCGCCGTTCTATCGGCCCTTGATATACTACACCCCATACCTCAAGATGTACCCTGTTGTTTCGAAATCTCTTGTTCCGATCGCCCGTGTTGCTGCTTCCTTGGTCTCAGATATCCGAATCTCTGGCAAGATCGCTTCTATCTAAAGTGCTCTTTGACATAAACGGCATCTGTCACCTGAAAGAATCACGTTGTCATCCTACGTGTCTCTTTTGTTGCGCAATATTCGGCTTGATATCTCCGGAAACTCTACACCCGGTGATCGGAACAGTAGACGGTGAATAACACGTTACTCACTGCCTACCTAACTCTCGTCTTCTTCGCACCCAACCTCGCTACCTCTCTTCCACCAGCTATCTACCCACGTCTGTGGTGGATGGTTATTGTCGCCTTCCCCTGACTCACATTTCAATTCACTTTCGACTCATACACCACACTGGCGATTCTTCGCTACTAAGGGTTTGCCGTCGCCTGCTCATAAAAAGACGGCTTTCTGTCCCACGGCTACTCGTTTACGGTCTACAGCATAACGGTTACTTGATAATCCCGGTATAAAATTTAAACGCACACTTCTTGGCCATCTCCGCGGCTTTTCAGCAGTTGAGAAGTCTAGCAACAGGTTGCCAGCCTTCTGGATGACCATTTGAGGTACTTCGAATCTTTTTCTATCTGTTAAAAGTATTCAAGGTCTCTCGACTGGACATCATCCCGGATATGTCAGGGATTGACGTTTTGGGTTTGAAGGATCCAAACCCGAACTCTCAAATCAGAGCAGCCTATGCGCACCCCTACGCATCGTCGGCCTCTTCCTCCGCCTCTTCCTCTACCTCCTCGGTCTTCTCGCTGGACGGCGTGCCTGCCCAAAGCTCGGTTTCCTCCGCTGCCACGCTGCCGGTGGACGTGATCTGGGAGAATGAAGGGGAATACGCGGCTGGAGGAAGGGGCCTCCCGGTGGTGGGAGCACGTGGTTGCTTAAGGGGAAACGCTCCCCGAGTTGCCGAGTCGGCCGTTGTCCCGCCCGAGTTGCGTAAGCATCCCCGGCGGACCAACAGCGCCACTCAGGCGAACGGCGCATCATGCACGCGGCCTCCGCCCTGTCTCTTGAGACAGTCGGAGCGGAAGGTGAACTTCGTCGATAACCTTGTCGGTAAGTTGTGGAGAGATTCCTGAACACGTTGGTCGAAAAAGTATCGGAGCTAAGAACCAACCCATGAAGATACCGCGTCGCAGATCGTCGAGGCCATTTGGCCACTATCCGCAGTGTCGCTCCGGAGTGATTCGGCGACTGGTTGCAAAGGCGTGCTGCCCCTCCGCACTTTCATCCAAGAGACACTCCGTCGCTCGCGCACTAGCTACAGCACGTTGCAGGTGGCTTTGTACTACTTGATCAAGATCAAGTCGCACGTGCCCAGCCACGATCTGACGCAAGACCAATCCCGAGGCAAGCCCGCTTGTCGGGCTATGCAATGCGGGCGGCGCATGTTCTTGGCGGCTTTGATTCTGGCCTCGAAATACCTTCAGGACCGCAACTACTCCGCTCGTGCCTGGAGCAAGATCTCCGGCTTGAATACTGCCGAGATCAACCAGAATGAGCTCATGTTCCTCGAAGCAGTTAACTGGCGACTTCACATCCCCGAGTCACTGTTTCAAAGGTGGACTGACATCGTGCTGCGCTTCACCCCAGGCGCAAGCAGCATGCCGGTCGATGATGGCCAGTGCTGGCGCACGATCATTCCCAAGCTCACCCCCGACTTGGACGACTTGGACGCCAGCCCTGCGACGCCCTCGAGCATGGGAGTCTTCGACTCCTGTTCCGTGGCCGAATCGCCATCTCCCCGCGGCACCTCGATCCGGAGGGAGTTGCCCAGGCTTCCCACGAATGACTCTGTTACTCTGCCTCCATTGGCTCTGGAATCGATGGTCCAACGGGAGAACTCCCTGCCGTCCCTTCCACCCATGCCACAGCCTCAGATGCTGCCGACTCCCCAGATGACCCCCCAGTCGAGCATCGCCTCCACTCCTGCAGTGAGTGCTGGCGGTATGGCTGCTCATCGGCGTTACATGCAAGCTGCTATGTCGCAGGTACAAGGTATGTGCACGGCGCGGTCGGTCTACGACCAGCGCCCGCCGCTATCGCTTTGTCCCAAGCCTAGCACGTTTGATGGCTACCCTAGCCTCGTACGCCGGTCTTCCTTGGCTCGCTCGGCCTCTTCCACCTCGTCTCCGGATTCGATGGTGTCGGATGTGTCGACTCTGTCCTCACAGTCCTCGCGGTCGTCTTCCATGTCGTCGTGCTCCTCGGTCACTGGGGGCTCGATGCCTCGTTTGGCCGTGCAGGCTACGCTCCGCTGCACTGGCAATTCTCTGAAGGAGGGCCGAAAGAATCTGGCCATCGTGTCTCCCCCGGATGAAGTTTCGCTTGGTCCGGTCTATAGTTCCCCGGAGAGCTACACTGGCCCTATCGGTCAAGTTCCGGATCTCTCCGGCTACTCTATGGAGCACCCGATTGATCTGACGTCCACGCATGAGGCGGCTCAAAGCCTGTGTGAACTGTCTGGCGCGACTTCCCGTCAGCACAAACCCACGGGCCAAGGCCGTAAGCGCGGTCGCACTGGATCGGAGGACATGCTCCTGCAGAGCCATGTGCGTCAGTTGGCCAAGGCTAGCGCACAGGCCGAGCGGCCTGTGCTCCATGATGGCAGCATGGCGGATGTGCTGATGGGATCTGGACCTGGCTCTGCGCCGGCACTCACTCTGCATCAGTTGAATGCTTTGAACTACCCGGCGCCGCTGTCCGGTCCGGCCGGCATGAAACGGGCCTGCTGTGGTAGCGAAGCCAGGAAGGTTGCACTTCACCCGGGCATGCGGGCAGACTATTTGGGTTGAACCCGGTGCCTTCATTCCTTCACTCCCAGCCCCGCTCTCGGGGGCACTCTTTACAAATCAGCTACTGCTTAATCCTATTCTGATTGACTTTTCTGAGCTCGTCGAACGAGTGACTCTCTTTGTGTACTCGCAGCACAGCAGCGGAAGACGCATTCTGGGAAGGGAAAAGTTTTGTGCGAACTTTTTTCATTCGTGCGCGTTCTTAAGGGGAAAACAAAAGTCATGGTCTTTGTAAATACCCTCCAGCTGGTTTTCCGACTCTGTGGAGTCTTGTTGCTTTTTTCTTTGTCTGGCTGCGGCTTTGCGGTCACTCATGTACGATGTACGTTGGGGAGGTCTTCGTCTGCACACTTTCCATTTCTTGTCCACATTTATTACCACCTACCTATTGACCTATCGTTATTTTGTTTTTACGGGACTGGAGTGTGATGGGAAGGGCCTGGGGTTTTTTTTATTCTGTTATTGGCTGCTTGCGGGTGCACATCATCATATCGGGAGGGGCTGCACATTTTACCTCGCACCCTGCGGAGTTGAGTCGGATACTCTTTGATAGTTAGAAGCATGAGAGTCGATTGGCTCTTTGACGATGACCAATACTATGTGTTATCAAGCCTTTGTCTGGTGTAGATTGCCTGATTTGCCGCCACCCAACTCTTCGTAGTCTGCCTAGCCTGAGTTCACTCTGTCCCAGCGCAAGGAACCATGTCAGGTGAGGGTGCCCGCGGGCGCCGGTATGACTCACCGCAAGTATGATGTTGGAAATGTGGATGAACTGGTCAGGCGGGGGTGATCCATATGTTTAGACGGTGGCCAGTGGCCCAGAGGTCAGGGGCGTTTGCTTGGGTCTTGTTGCGTTGGTTCACCGGGGAGACGCTAGTTGGCACTAGTGACTCATTGTTGCCGGCCTATGCCCAGTGCCCGCCCAGCAACGCCTGAGGCAGCAATATCCGGAAGGGACCGGATCAGGCAGCGAGGTCGGACGAGCCCGGAAGGTCATTCACCGGTCGGTCAGAGACTCAGAGGGTCACATGCTGCAAGCACCGGATGGAGCGAAGTGGGACGACAAGTCGGGTCTAGCGGGATCAGATAAGATCAGATGGTATGTACACAGTACCTATGGTCCATTCTTCCCCTCATCTGGCGTCACCTCGGTTCAACCATTCCAGTTTCATCCACAACACTCCCGAGTCCACAACCTATCTCTTAACAAGCTCTCTCTCTCTCTCTCTTCCTCTGTCTGGCCTGTGAAGAGTACCGAGAACCCTCCGCAAAGATGGCCCCCGCGACCGCCATAACCCTCTATTCCACCCTCGCCCTCCTCTGCACCACCGCTTTCCTGAACGTGGGCGGCGCTTCACCGGTCCTCGACCCCGTGTCCTCGACACAGCACCTCCTGCAGCCCGAGCCCGAGCTCGAGCTGGAGCCAGAGCATCAAGACCCAGCGTCCTACCCCCTCCACCCCATCACCGACTCCCCCTCCCTCTCCCCCTCCTCCTCAGAGGAGGAAGCATACAAAGCCCCCAGCTGGTTCGAGTCCACCCTCCTCGCCCGCCGTCTCCTCGCCCTCTCCCCCACCGGCACCGCCTCGACCATCTTCCCCTCCCCCCTCCCCGCCCACAGCCGCGCCTACGCCCACATCCCCGCGGATGTCGCCGGCCACTCCATCAGCCTGACCGAGTACCTGTCCGACTGCGAGCACGCGCTTTCCCCCACCTCATCATCATCATCCACCGAAAGCGAAAGCGAAGGACAAGACGAAGGCAACCCGATCTTCCTCGCCCTCACCATCGCCACAACCTTCCGCAACACGGCGCACGGGTCGAATCTGTCCCTGTCGCTGTCGTGGTGGGACCACGTCAACCGCACCGAGCCCGTGTTCCCCGGGTTTCCGCTCAGTCCCGCGGGGTTGCCCCGCGTCACGCTCCTGGGGTATGTGGAGGCGATCGATTTCGAGGCGGTGGCCCGGTCGACTGGTCGGGCCGAGGGGGCGAAGGAGGCGGAGGCGCGGCTGACGGAGTGCTATCTGCGGGCGCATCCGGATGCGAAGGCGTGGTTGCCGGGCCGGAAGGGGGCGCCGCATGAGAGCTTCTGGGCGCGGTTGGTGGTGGAGCAGGTTTATTGGGTCGGGGGGTTTGGCGGGTTGCAGCAGATTGGGTGGGCGAATCTGTCGGAGTGGAGGGGCATTGGGCGGTGGGGGTCGGCGGGGGATTTGGGGGATGGGAGTCGGAGGGGGTGGGAGGGGGTGCGGTTGCCTGGGGAGGATGAGTAGGGGGGTTTTTCGTGGTTTAGAGGGTTATGGTGAGAGATCTATCGTTATAGCTCATTTCTGTCGTCGTGGTGGATTTGAGGTATTTCTTATTATCTTTTTATTGGGAGTATACTCGCGACTATGCATCCATATACCGTCAAAGGAGAATTGATAGGACGGGCATCATCATCAGAAACCATCATACCTCTCTTCCTATACTATGTAAATCCACCGGGTATATATCCCTGCCTCTAACCTGTAACATACACAGCCCTCCCGGGTATCGGAAAATCACCTCCTCACCCCGCCCCCAACCGCACCCCCAGCTCCAGCTCCCGCCCCAGAGCCATGTCCATGCACCACACAGAGCAAATACTTCCGATCCGGCACCACCACAATCTCATGCTTCCTCGTCCGCAACCGCAACAACTTCACCTCATCCCCTCCCTCTTCCTCCTCGTCGCGCTCCCCTTCCCCTTGTTCATGCCCTTGCCCTTGCCCTTGCCCTTGCCCAATACCATGCCCAGTCCTAAATTCCCCGCTTCGATTCCCAGCCTCCACCCCACCCTCAAGCTGCTGCCTACCACCACCACCACCAGCCCCGTCAGAGGTCGGATCAGCCAACACGGCACTCAGCTCAGCCGCGCTCGTCACGTACGCGAAGATATGCGCGGCGAGGGTCTCGGCGGGCGAGGGGGTGTATTTCTCCTGCTGTTGCTCTTGGGCTGGCGCTTGTTCTTGCTCTTGTTGCGCTGCTGCTGCTGCTGCTGCTGCTGCCGATTCCTTGGTTCGGATTGGGAGAGTGGTCACTTGTAGGGATTGCGGGGTGGTGGGGTCGGGATTGGCGTTGGGGGATGTGTCTTTGTCTGTGTTCGTGGGGGATTCGTCCGGTTGTTCGGCTTCTGCTGCGCTGTCTTCCTCGGTAGCTGGGACAGTCGGGGGGAGGACGGTTTCTGTGGCGTCGGGGGTTGTCGGGTTGGTGGGGTATTCTTGTACTCCTTCTTGTTGTTGGTCGGGGTGCGGGGCTGTAGGAGCAGGACCAGAGCCAGAACCAGAAACAGGGACAGTGTTCGGGTTTGGGAGGGTAGCTGTAGCTGTAGCTGTAGCTGGGGCTGGGGCTGTAGCTGGGGCTGGGGCTGTAGCTGGCGACGGCGACGGCGATGAGGCTGGGTTGAAGATAGGTGCTGGTGTAGGTGTAGGTGTAGGTCTGCTCGGGCGACGGGCCGTCGGCGAAAAGGCGTATAACCCCGTGCTCTGAATAATGGAGCCGTCTTTGCGGGAGAGGATGAAGGTGGATTGCACGCCGGGGCGCGAGGTGAGGTGCGAGAGGAGGGCGGTGACGTGGTGGGGGATTTGCGGGGACTGAAACAATAAGCCTGGGTTAGCTTCATCATCGTCTTTATGATAGCGTGGAGCGAGAGGATATCGGCTGGGGAGACCTACGGTTGAGGTGGTGGTCGCCATATTTCTTGTTGGCCGCGGAGCCGGCGCGGTGGGGGTTGAGGAGATGGTAGAGGAGGGGAGTGTTAAAGGGAGGGATTTGGCTGGAGATGAAGCATGTCCTGCCTGAATAAGGGACTGTCTGGTAAGTGAGTGGGATTGGGTGGAAGCTTTGTGGAGGGGCAAAGTTCAGCTGTGAGCTGTGAGCTGTGAGCTGTGCTGTTTGCTGATTGCTGTTTATGGCGGTGTTGTTTTGCTTGCTCCCGTCTACATGCTGACTCATCAGGGGCCTCAAGTTAACTAAGTTAACTAAGTTACCTTAACTACACTATAACTTACTATGCAAACAATCTCCTATCTAGTCAAAAGTACATGTGCAAAAACTCGATGCATCACAGTCCATAGACTATCTTCAATGCTACTCATGATATACAAGACCCAAAACCAAAGAAACAAAGTGGTATCGTGGAATTCAAAGGGCAAAACACAAAGGAAATCAAAGAATGACACAGCGAAGCCAAGCTGAACAGGATTGACTCAAGTCGATAGTAATACTCACAAGAAAGATTAATTAGAAAAGAGCACTCAACAAGTGCACGTCACACACCATGTATCATCCTGGCAGTCTCCTCCCTGCACTAAGCCTCCGGCTTCTCCGACATCCAGTCCAAGTCAAGATCCTCCATCATATCCTCGAGCTCCTGCACATTGGCACTATCATCCGTCCCATAGCTACCCCTCCGACTAGACCCTGGACTAGCAATCCAGCTCTCAGGCCGGAAGGGGGGTTTCTTGCTTCTCCTCGAGTATGACTTCCGTGCACGTGTCGACACCGAAGTACTGGTCTCCGAGGAGAAAGATCTGCCCGTGCCTGGGGTTGCGGTCGCCGGCGGCGTAGTCAACCCCCCCAGCACAGACTCCAGACTTTGCTTGGTGCCAACATCCAGTGCGGCTAAGAGAGCAGCCTGCAAGATCTTATTTTGTCGCTCGAGGTGCGTGATGCGCTCCTCGAGAGCCTCAATTATCTGGGTCGACTGCCTGGCATCTCGTGATTCCTGCGACTGGTTGGTCCTTTGGGAGTGGTAGGACTCCGGTGAGTGGCCCTCAAACCCATGCAGTCGATAGTCTCTGGGAGTCAGTGGAATCTTATGTCCCGATAATGACTTCTTGGCAGAGCGAGGCCTGTTTGTGGCCTGCTCCCTGAAAGCCAAAGGTGTTGGTCTGGAACGACGCCGCCGCCCTGCAGCTGGACGAGTCCGCTTACTAGCACCAGTGCAATCGTCATCGGACGATGGCAGCGGCGATTCAGAGCGAACCTTGAGACTCTTCTCTTTGGCCAATCTCTCTTGAGTGCTTGAGCTATGCACGCTGCCGCTTCGCTGTACCCCAGTCGTCTTATTCAGCCTTGACTGCAGCTCAAGCTCTTCGGAGAAACCCTGGTCCCACTTCTTCGAAGAGGCCGGAAACTGTCGACCAGCCTGACCAGTGGAATGTCTCGCTGGGTTCATTGGCGGGGGTGAGCGCGGTGGTGGCGATGGGGGCTCCGAAGCCACTATTCGCTGATACCGTTTGTTGCAATCCGGCTGGTGCTCGATGTTTTTGCGAGCGTCCGAGATATTTTCATCATCTCGAGAGGTCTCAGGCTCCGGTGTCAACGCATCGGCTGGCTGTTCCTCCTCGTTCCCTTCTTCAGGAGGGTCCAGGCCATTAAGATAGAGACGGCCTGTGGTCACATCGCGCTTCTTCAGTGCCATGACCCGCTCCGCACGGTTTGGGCCTGTTCGCACCAGAGTATTGGGACCAAGCGCGTTTGATGCAAATCCAGCTGGTTCACTATTGATCTCACCAATTATCTCAATATCATTCTCAGCAGTTGACCGTTTGCCCACTAGCATCAACCTTGTAGAGGATGCGGGCCGGGCGGACGTTGTCCGCTCGTGGACAGTAACAGTAGGACCCATTTCAGGTAATGATGGCAGAGGTCTCATGGGTGCTGGAATGGGGAATGCATCGATGGCGCACATTGGCAAGGAGGAAGGCCGCCGGCAGCTTTTCTTCGGCGGCTCGCTCTTCGAGCTGTCTGTGTCTTCTTTTCCTTGCGGTTCTCCCGATGTCCCCTTGTTCCGATTATCTGGAGCGGTGCTAGGCTGTCGCTCTGTGGACGTAGAATCTGCTTCTAATTTAGTACATTCGCTCACTGGCTCAATCATAGCACGTTGAGCAGGTGCAAGAGGAAGGGCTCCGCCGGGCGCTGCTGGACGGCCACCTGATATGCGCCACGCTCCTTTACTAGATACTCGCGGAGGTAGCGTATCGGGGAACAGTTTCAATGTTGGAGGAGGTTGAGTTTGAGTGTTCTGTGTACTAGCTAACACTGGTCCAGATGCCGAAGCCTTGGATTCTGTGCTAGATCGACGGGAATCTGCACTCTGGCCCTTCGTGGGTTGAGACAATTGAAAGTCAGCTTTGTCCTGCGTTCAAGACCTGCTGCTCCTCACGCAGCCGATCTCGGGGCAGCGTTATCCCTACAGGTGCATCTGTATCCGGCCTACTGGCCGCAGTATCCCCTTCTTCTATACCTTCAATGCGACGAGTGTTCTGGTCCGATGGCGGATTTAACGTGCTAGTCCGATTCTCATTTGGCCTCGAAGCACTCTGCTCCGAGATTTCGACTGGCCGATAAGGGGGTGGGTCGATATCGTCTGGCTGCGCGGGGCATGACACGGCCGCTTCCACCATCGAGGTTAATTCTCGGAGATCGAGCGAAGAAGGGTGGCTGGCTTGGGTATCAGGCTTGTCTTTTTTCTCCAGTGGGTCACTCAGCCAGGGCTGTCCAATGCTTTCAACGTCTCTGCGGGAACTGGACTTGAAGCTGAGATTCGAGATGGATCTGGACGAGGAACGGCTGGAGTCTAAGCTTTGCTTGTGGGATGATCGCTTGGGTGCAAGCTTGGGTGATAGGGCAACATGCGACGGCAGGAATCCCCCTTCCTGGAGCGCCATCAGCTGACGAGCCGTCTCTTCAGCTTTGGATTTGGGGTCGAGGTTCTTCCGTGGGCGTTGAGCAAGTTGTCGGAGACGTCTTTGACCGGCTCGGAATATATCGCGAGCCCCCGTCGACTGCGGGGCCCCGCTTGGGGTCTCGATATACTTCAGGAAGTCGGTCATTTGATCACTCTTCGAATCGGATAGCATCAAAGCCGGGCTCTCTGCCCGAACCTCTTGTGAGAGGGGAGACATGGTGTAGCGTCCCGTGCGGGATGTGCTGGAGCTCGATCGGCAGGTTGGGACAATCGGGCTCGGTGCAACTAGGCTGTCATATGACTTGGTCCTCCGTTGCATGGGAACCGCAGCTGGCTACCAGCTGCTCGAATGGCCACGGAATCTTGCACAAGAATCAGGCACGGTCAGCATTGAGTATGGCAGAATGACGAGACCAATGAGCGTGACAAGGTGATCAACAAGAAGGTTCAATTGAGTCAAGAAATCTGACGCAGGGCAGCGGCTCGGTGTCTAGGCAGGTGTGATGCACTGACAAAGCTAGTCAACTGGGGTAATGAGCGTGTGGGACGAAAGACTAAAACAAAAGGATAGAATGCAACTGGGATATGTGCACGGGATTTGCATATACAGCTGACCGTGACCCAACTGTTGCTCACCCCGTCGCCGCACGAAGTGTTCACTCAGAATAGGAAAAAAAAAAAGAAAGAAAGAAAGAGGGAGAGAACAGACCAGACAGTCCAAGAGACGAGCTATCTCGAATTTATGAAGGGACCTCAAGGAAACTCGAGGAGCTGTCAGGCCCTTGCTGCACTAGAGCCCGGGAGGGATCTTTCCCAGGATCTCCAGGCCAATGCAGAATTGTGACGAATCGTCGAATGAGAAGCTTGCCCTAGTTCTCGATAGCTTGCAAGATAGAGTTGGTACTAGACAGTCGCTATTCGACGAGCCCAGGGTGGCCAGCCAGGCACCCAAGGGCATTGGGGGAGGTTGTGGGAGGGGGAAGAGCACACGCAAGGCCGATGTGGAGTCATCATTGATTGGAAGGGGCAGAAAAAAAAGCCAGAACAGAAAAAGGGAAACAAGAGTCAAGATTTCAAGCTAGAAGGGAGAAAAAAGTAAAAATAACTCCAAGCGAGAGCGATCGAGTCCGTGCCAGACAACTATTTGCTGGGCTGGAGAGGCCCTGTCATCATCATCATCATCATCAACAGGATGGCGCATCTTTCTTTTTTTTTTCTTGTCCTTTCTTATGCAGACCTGTGTCAGACGAATTGATGAAGGAGGGCCAGTCAAACTTCGAACGGCGATTATCGATGGTCCTAGGGCGCGATCATCGGCCCTTTGGTTCTGTGATGGTCTCGTGTGACTTCATGATTGCAGCTTCGGTCTTTGCCGTCTCCCTTTGAACGAGATACTGGAGGAACCGTTAGATATCACGCAAGGGATACCACGGGATGGCCGGGATGGCAGCACCGTTCGTTTCGCTTTTTTGATTGTTTTTTTTTTCTCTATCTCAGGGGAGGGGATTCAATTGGGTTCCCGTTAGCGAATGAGAAGTATGGAGTTGGTACCCAACAATCGAGGGATAAGGGAATGTACTGTACCTATCGGTAGACAGTTTGACTCTCCATGCAGCAGTGGACGAGGAGTGGGGAGAGTAATGGGTGGGAAGTGAGGTGTCAGCCTCGTAACAATCCCATCGGCGATTGTTACAGTAACTCAAAGGAAGAGAGAACCTAAAGTAGAGTAGTGGCCGATCGGAGTGGATGCAGTCGAGGAAGTGAAGTGGATGCAGTGGATGCAGTGGATGCAGTGGACTGACTGACGGACTGACTGGTGTTCAATGTGACAGATGCACAGACGGAAGGAACCTCTCCGGATCGATGACAGGTCACATTAACATTCTACTTCTACCCATTGACTCTCGGTCTCGTTCAATGCGCATCATCAACACTCTCTTTCTTTCTCTAGCCAATGTACTCCGTAACTTAGTGTACAATGCTCTTCCCCTCCCAACCAACTCTCAATATAAACCTATTGCTACACTGTTGGTAGCACAGAGAGGATCAGCCCTTACCGAACCCAACCCTATCAGAAACGGGATCATGCATCATCAATGGGAAGGAATCCATGGTAAAAGAAACCTCAATAGTCCAACAGCAAAGAGAATGAGTGGCAATTGAGCGTACCGAGTAGAAATTATTGAAAGCTGCGAGGTGTGGAAGCAAACAAACATCAATCAATCCCCTGTCTCTCTCTCCACATTGACACAGCAAACATAACACCACAATTAGACAAATCATACGAGGTTATCATCAACCCACAGAACTAGGTACCTTGTAATGAACAGATAAGACTGACTTCATAGGCGCGGTTCGTCAATGGGGCCCAAAATTGGTATTGAACCTCGTGTGTCTGATGAAGCACATCTCATTTTTCCATTTTTTTTCTCTGTTTATTTCCCCCATCCTTCCTCCCGATGAACCAGTATCTGAAGAAGAAAGTAGAATAGTATCATCATCGAGAACCTAATCGACGGCTAGAGGCAGGAAGAAAACAAAAGAGACAGAGAGAAAAAAGAAAAGAAAGAAATCCCAATTAGCGCCACGGACTCCCTTGCAGCCGATAGTTCATGCACCTCCTTTTTGTTCCCTCCCCCTTTCTACCTATACGGTATTGCTCTCTCTCTCTCTCTCTCTCTGACACTCACTTGCGGGTACGGAGTACAGCAGTCGATGCAACCCATTTCCCCCCTTCCCCAGAAGCCCAATTAGCAAGTATTCTCCGAATGCGAACTCCTCCCTCTCCTCTCTGCGCTTCTGAGACAAGCACTTGCATATCATCTTTAACTGTCACAGTATCTACCGGCAGTCGACGATAATGCTTCTAGTTGAAACTCGAACAGGGTCGGCTTGAAATGGAATTATACCAGGATAAGGAATGGACCAGGTTCACTACCTACATCAAGAGAGGAGGAACGGGTGGTTCTCGCGCTGCTCGATCGAAGATCCGTGCGGCGTCATCAGAGAAAGGGGGGAGGGAGTAGTTCATTCATCCTTTCAGGTCGATTTTAAAGGCAACTTGATCAAATCGCCTTGGAACAAAGGCATAGTAATTGAGCCGGTCCGAATCACTATTATCGTTGCTACCCCAACTACTCGTGAGACAATTCATGCGTCTCACTGGAGATTCAGAAACCGTAGGACCCCAGCGCTGCAGTGGCACATGCACATGGAAATAGAGCTTGGAACGTCAGCCTGTCTTATCCTCAACCAGAAAAGGCCTGAAGAGGTCCACAGCTTGATCTTCGCCCTTTAGTGACCATGACGAGTGTATGTCGCCCAGATCGAGTCATGGGTTTTGACACTTGTCGAGCATGTATAGATCGCTGGCTACACCCACTCATTACCCTACCCTTTACCCAAGAGCCCTGGCGGACAATTATTCTACCTGATCCAGAAGATGAAACCGGCCTGATGATGCTACTCAACCAGTCAACTACTCACACCCCCATGCCCATTTCCCCCTGATTCAAAGGGGACGGACCTCAGATCATAGTATTTTCCTTGACTCTCAATCCTCTCACTGCCTATAATGCCTTGTTCGAATAATACAACGAGAACCACATCGCAGAAGCATGCTAAAACGACGCCGCTGATGCTTGAGGCGCAAGGGAAGAATTCGAGAACACCGTGTTATGACAAGCCTCGTGCCGTCAGTACTCCCAACGGTATAGAGTGGATAGTGGAGAATGTCACACCCGCGTAACTGGGCCCAAATGTGGCTGCCAAAGTGTCAAATCACAGAATACATTAGAGAAGCAAAGAAGGCACTGGTCAGAATCATCGACAGTGCATCCTGCATGCACATATGCATTGTCATATGTCATACAAGCGATCTTCCAGCACATCAATAGCCCTTATGACATGTATGAAAAGTGGGCAAGAAAACGACGCGGCCAGCGACCGACCGAATATCTGGAGATCGAGATCGAATGCTATCGGAGAGATGATCATCTTCGCTTCGGTCTGATGAACGGATCGGCTTCTTTCTTCTTGCGCATCATCGGGGGTCTGACGTTGTTGCCAGGCCTTGGCTGCGGAGGGCGTGGGGCAGGCTGCAAGAACAACACAAATTAGCCAGTGATGGGAGCAAATTGCATGAAGAGATCACATACACCTGCAGAACCTTGGCCCGGTCGGGGTCCATGATGGGATTGTCCATAATTCGAAGTGCCATACGCGGGTCCATCGCGAGATGGCTTCACCAAATCCTGTGGTTCACAATTAGTCAAGAACTCAGATCTTGATACGAGAGAAAAGAATTTCTACCTCTGTCTTGGGAGGAATGTTGGCATCGATCTTGCGTCGAGGACCCTTGGGAGCATTCGCAAATGCTGAATTCGGACCATCCTTGCGCGGTCGTGATGAGTTCGAAGCATCCAGTGCAGGTGAACCGGAGCGTTTTCGTTTGCCCGAGAGATCGCGGTTCTCAACCTTGTTCTGTTCAGAGACTTTCCGGTCCTGTGGCGAAGGCCCATTGGTCGTTTGGACCATAGGCACCTTCGGATCGTGCCCGCCCAGTTGCCTACGCCGCTGTTGCTCGGTCCGTTGCCTTTGCCGCTGAGCAAGATGGAATTCTTCCCGATTGATCCTTGCTTTCTCCTGTTTCGATAAGCTCGTGCCAGCACGGCAATTGTCCGCGACATGTCCAGTCTGCCCACATTCCACACAACGCTGTTCTTTGCAATTGAGACGCGTGTGGCCCGTCGCACCACACCTGAGGCAGGTGCCCCTGGTTGCCTCCTTCGCGTCGTCATTGTCACAATTGTGCGTCATGTGATCGAAGCTTCCACAGATGCCACACGTGCGCGTTACATCCAGTCCATTACCACCCCCAGATGGACCTTCGGGGAGGGGAGGTGGCGGGGTGCCTTTCCCGGATGCTGATGCGGGAAAGGGGGATTCCGACTTGTCGCGAGAAACCGAGGAAGGCCGAGAGATGGAGCCAACCGATGTCGCTCTTGAGAGAGGCTCGGATTTCGGTGCTTCTGAGTCCAGCATTTCGACATTCTTATACCCGGTGAATTGCGGTCGCTGGAGTATTGACAGGACATCGCCGTCTGTGTACACGTTTCTTCTGCGGGCGTCCTTGATTAAACCATTCCAAAACTCGCCCTGTACCAGGGACTGTGAGTTACCAAGCACCCAGAGTGAGGATTTGGCACGCGTCAGACCGACGTTCATACGACGAATATCAGCCAAGAAACCGATGCCTTTGTTCGAGGCTCGGACACAAGAGAATATGATCACCTCACTTTCCCTACCCTGGAAAGCATCCGTGGTGTTGAAGTCGATCCGGCTAAGAATAGATTCTCCGTATCTGGCAGAGAATTGCGTCTTGAGCTGGCGTAATTGACCTTTGTATGGAGTAATAATGCCAATCTTGCCGTCGAAGTTATAGCCCTTGAAGTCTGCCAATAAACGCTCATAGAGCTGCATCGCTACACGGAGTTCCGCC